CGACGCACCGTCCCGACCCCGGGCTGACCCGTTCGCGACTCTCCTGCCAATCAAATACGGTTTTCCTCCGCGGCCAGCCGACCAATCACCGCGCGCGGTGCACTCTTCGGCTCCTCCGCCCTTCGGCTCTTCGGCTCATCGGCTCGTCGTTCTTCGGCTTTTCGGCCCTTCGGCTCGTCGGAGTTCGTCGTTGCTGGGCCTTCCTGGGCCTTCCGCCTGCGCCAAAGCGTAGTTCTCGTTGGTTTAAGTTCCTTTTTTTCCCCCCCAGACACTTCCGGGTCCTGCGTCGCCCCGGAAGCCTGCGAGTTCCGGAAGCCTGGGTACCCAGGTTCGGCTAGGAAAAGCCAAGCTTCCTAGAGAACGTTTCAGAGAGAGTCCCGCGGAGCGGGGCGTGTCGCCGACTCCCAAGGTCAGTGTCCGCCGAGGGGCCGCAGTGCAGCCCGAGGTCAGCGGGCAGCCGAGGGCGCCAGCTTCCCCGCCTTGTCCTGGCCGCCCTTGGCTGGAGTTCCCAGGTCACTGGCTTCCCGGAGGAGGCAAATCAGAGTGTGATTTGGGGAAAGGCAAGAAGCAAACCTAAACCCGAGAATAAGGGTGAGGATCGCACCCTTAGGAGGGAAAGGACCGCCAGCCCGAGCTCGGCGCGTCCCGCAGGGACTTCGGACGAACTTCCGAGTCTCTGCCCGCGCTCTGCGGCGCTGCGCGGTCCTGCCTCTGAGCCGAGCGGGTCGTGGGTCAGGCAGCGCCCACGCCGCACTTCTTAGCTCGACGGTTCACGCAAAGTTTGCATTGGGTCCCGAAAAAGAAGAAAAAAAAGAGTGTGCTGAAGTTTCCAACCTTTGTGAAAGCCGATGCACTTAAAAGCAGTTTTAATTTTCTTGTGGAGGAAGAGTTCCTGGGAATGTTCCAATAGAATTACTTGCGATGAGTTTGTTCTATTTAATATTTATTTCTGATAAGTAATGAGCATCGTTAGCATTTTTCATCTGGAGCCTGAAGTTAAAAGTTTTTGTTTGTTCATTTCTTTAGGTTCCATTTTCCAAAAATACATTTTGTGAATGGAAGTGTTTTTTGTTTGTTTGTTGTTATTTTTTTTGTTTTTTTTGCAGAATAAGACTAATTGTTGAACGTTCAAGTCTAACATGCCCTAGTTAGTATTCCATGATGGCCTTTTTTACCTTATGTTTTTTACCTTAATTTAAATCCAGCTCGGCCAACGTGGCTCAGTGGATGAGCATCGACCTGTGGACCAGGCCATCGGGGTTTGATTCCTGGTCAGGGCACATGGCCGGGCTGCGGACTCCATCCCCAATGTGGGGCATGCAGGAGGCAGCTGATGATGATTCTCTCTCAGCATTGATGTCTCTGTCTCTCTCTCACCCTCTCCCTTTCTCTCTGAAATAAAAAATATTTTTTATTTATTTTTTAAATGCAATTTTTTTTTTAAAATATATTTTATTGATTTTTTACAGAGAGGAAGGAAGAGAGATAGAGAGTTAGAAACATCGATGAGAGAGAAACATCGATCAGCTGCCTCCTGCACATCTCCCACTGGGGATGTGCCCGCAACCCAGGTACATGCCCTTGACCGGAATCGAACCTGGGACCCTCCAGTCCGCAGGCCGACGCTCTATCCACTGAGCCAAACCGGTTTCGGCTATTTTTTAAATAATAAATAAAAATAAAAGCAATAATGGGGAGACTGAGGCTCCATCCTCACCACCTTTTGTAGTCTAGACACCTTCCCCTAATGTGTTTACCTTTAGTTAAACCTGAACAGAATAAACGTGGGGTGGCCGACTTTGCATTTTTCTCTCTCACTTCATATTCTCTCTGATTTCACCCCTATTATCAATTACTGTATCTAGAAAAATTAGAGTTGTATGTGCTTGAGGCAGAAGCAGATTTGAAAGAAGAGTCAAAAAAATTATTTCTCCTGCTTTTTTTTTTTTTAAAAAGGGGTGGTGGGGGTGGTGGTGGATAGAAGTAACACGAGGCAGTAAAGAGAATGCTACACTAAGTCAAGAAAATTGAGTTCCAGACCTGACTGGTTTCTTATGACCTGCTCTACCTCTTGGCCTTCTTCTCCCCATTTTTAGGAATTAGGGGTAGCACTCCACCTGTGGTTTTATGACTTTCATAGAACTGTAGAAATTGCTTGGAGCTTTCTGGGGAGAGACAAAGCAAGCAGACCCTCCGCAGCTATTTTATATATTTTGCTCGAAAAACAGGGTTTCTATTAAGAAAATTAAATTCATATCTTAGACTAGATGACCTGTGTTCCCTTCTAGCATTTAAATTCTCTTTCTTAGGATAGTATTCATTTGTATTCCATGTGCATTTATGTATAAGTTTTTTTGATAAGAGATACATGTTCACAGTTAATTCATTACTAAAAGCCATAAACATGTCCATATTCAATCTCATTTGTTTAATAAATGCAGATTTCAAGTTTAATTCTTTATGATCAGAATCACAATTCTTTATTTTTTCTTTCTCCCCCTTACCCTTTTATGTTAGCCATAAAATTTTCACTTATATTCGAAGCTTGTAATCATCTTTGCAGTAGGAAAGCCGGTACTTTGCATTTGATGTGTTTGGTGGCTGAACCTTACAGATGTTAGCAGTCTCACCCAGCATACAGATGTTAGCAGTCTCACCCAGCCTCACCGTGTGCAGGGCCCTGCAGCACAGGGACATGCATGCCATATGCACAATCTTTGTTTCTGGACAAAAGTTCTGCTCTGAATCACTGGCTCCCCTTTGATTACCTGGGTTGGGCAGCCTAGAAGCACATTGGCTGTTCCCTTTATCTCTTTCCTGTGAAAGACAGCAGTTTCTAAACATCCCATGTTCCTTTTCAGTTCCTTCAGGCTGTGGAAGAACCCTCCGGAGTGGAGCCCTGACTGCTCCTCCTGCCTCCGGGCCTGTAATCTTGGTGCTGCAAATGCCAGAGCTGTGATTCCTATACGATCTAGAAGCGGGGAGAGGAGCATACGGCCTCCTCTGTCCTTCCCATTGTGGGCTGTTGACCACTTCTGCCAACCCTTCCCATCTACACAACCAACTGCCCGTTCCTATGTTTTCATTCTCTTTTATCACAGCGCCCTTCTTACCTGCCTGTCAGTAAGGTGAGATACATTTCATCCATGTGTCTTTTTTTTCTTCTGACTGTTAAAACATAAAAACCAAGAGCTCTAGAGTCATTCTGTTTTGATTACGCATAACCATTCCCTCCCAGTGTTAGGTGAGTTGACCGTGCCTCTGCTTTGGGTAGAGTGTGTGTTCACAATCACTAAATGAATGTTCACGCCTCGTTTCTGTGCAGATGTACAGTGAGTCTCTTTGAACGGTTCTCGGACCACATGTGTAGGAGTAGAGAGAGGGGATGTGGATGGCACGCATCCCAGGCAACTTGGGTAACTCAACCATGTTCTGTCGTTTCTCTCCCCATCCACAGTCCTGAGTGTGACTGGCAGTCGGGCCTTGAGAGAAGAAGCTGTGCTTTGAGTTCTGCGGTATTGAATTTGATCCAAGCTTACCCAATACCCACTAACTTACCACTACCTTCCTTTTGTGTGTTCCATACTTTCTCTAGTGTTTACCAGAAATTTACTAATTGCCAGCTTGGCCTGACACAGGTGACTTCATCTCCTCAAGGCTTAATTTTGGTCTTTGTGAAATGGACATGATGATCTTTACTTTTAGGAAAATTCAGTGAGGTAAAGCATGCCAAGAAAACCCTGTGCGTCCTTCGGTACTTGCTCCTCTTACATTGCAAACACCTCTGTTCCCGTGTGGATAGTCCATATTCTCTCCAGTGCCGTGAAATGTGCAATGGAATGTGTATTCCAAAAATCTTACGTCATTTCGAATTCTCTTCTTAGGCAATTAGATCCTCCAGCCCTTTTCCACATGCGTAGAGTACTTAAGAGCTGGTTGTTTCATGCTTCATGAGGCACGTTTGCCCATCCTTGCGTTGGCATCTTCCCTGTAGTTAGTGCCTGTGCTCTTGATCTCGGAGTCCTCAGCCTCTTAAAACAGCCCCATGTGCATGCCCAATGGCGCCATCTGCAAGTGCCCATGTTCACCTTTTTGGCTGTCACTGTTTTTCACGCCCATCACCACTTGTCAGTGTAGTACAGTGGTTCAGAATGTGGCTGAGTTATTTCTAGCTGTGTGATTTCTCACTGGTCAGCTAATCTCTCTGTGCCTCTGTTTCCTTGTTTAAAACAGAAATAATGAAAGAAGCTCTTTCATCGCAGTGTAAGGATTAAATGACTTGCTACTTGATTTTGCAAAGGGCACTTCGCTACCGTAGTCACTATCCGCCTTCAGCCCTGGTAAGTGGTGCGTGTTTGCTGCAGCTGTAAGCTCATGAGCCAGTGGAATTTTGTTGCGTCTCGTTTTGCTGTTTCCTCCACGAGGATTGTTTCTCTGTCCCGCGTCTTCTGTTCTGATTTCTCCACTCGCACTAGCCTTTTCCAGACTCGTGTTCAGCATTACCATTTCTGCAGTTGGAAAGGACTTCTTTTATTCTTCCTCTTCCTCTTCCAAGGGTTACTAGTAGTTCCTATAAGGATCCTGGGTAGGTGAAATTTCTATAGTTGCTGACTTTTTTAACTGCTGAAAAGTGTCGTGTGGTATAATGACTTGTCCAGGGTCACACAGCCTGAGGGTGGACCTGGGCTGGACGGAAATTTCTATAGTTGCTGACTTTTTTAACTGCTGAAAGTGTCATGTGGTATAATGACTTGTCCGGGGTCACACAACCTGAGGGTGGACCTGGGCTGGACCGTAGAAATGGTTAGAATCCCCCATATTCACTCAAACATCTGTTCCCTGTTTTCATACTGTGCTTTCTCTCTTCAAGACTCAGAAGCATCAACTTTCTGAAAAGATTATGAGTGCCGTGCTCTTCTCTTAAAAAATGTCTTTGTGAAGCTGGCCTCAAGGTATTGGGAATTCTGTTTTAAGGTTTTAAAAAAGTATTTTGTGTTAGTTTTAGATACGTGAATAAATATACCGTAAATGAAATAGGTTAGGTGCTCAGCTCTGTAACACTGATTATCATCTTGAAGACTGTAGTATTTGGGTTGAGTTCCTTCTCTCCAAATAAAGAAGAAAAAAAAAAAGAAATATATATATATATATATATCCCCTCTGCTAGGACAAAGTGCTTATCATTTGTTGGAGAAATTTGTAATATTTTGAAGTTTTCCTTCAAATGTATTTAGAAACATTTTGTTGTGTACCCATTACCACCCCCCCCCCCCAAATATTTTTTATTTGGATTTTGTTGACAATTGCCTTTAAGTTAAAAGTAACCTAGAGGACTGGTGTCCATAACAGAATGTTTTAAATACTTCATGTCTTGTCTGTATTCAAAGCAGCACAGTTGGGATATCTATAAACCCCTGAAACGGGGCTTATACTTGATGAAAGAGAGTAACAACAGAGTAGTGACAAGTCACTTAGCAAGTCTGTGGCCGAAGTGGGATTTGAACTTTCTGATGGTGACTTCTCGGCCTGTTCACAGCGTCAGGTGTTCTAATGGCCTCGGCCACAGCTTTTTCTCTCCTGCTCCTGTTTGAAATGTGTTCTGGGAATCGGTGTCCTGTTGAATCCCTCTTTGATGCACGTCCCATTTATTAGTATTGATTTCAATACAAGGTACAGTAAATCTTCCTGACCACACAAAGGAAATACTAGGGAGGAAGTTCAAAGCTTAAAATCCCCATTTAAAGAACTTTATTCACGTAAGCTCATAATGCAAAATGTTAGTTTACAATTTTTTTAAACCCTAAAAGGAAAAAAAAATGAATATTCGCACTCATCCATTTTGATTGCTAGAACCCCTAGGAGAGTGTGGCAGCAACATTATCATACCGAACATTAGTTGACGATTGTGGACCCGGAAAAGGTTTGGGGGGTGGGGGGGAATGGATGGGTTTGATACCTGAGAGATTACTTGGGAGGGAGTCACATGTTTCTTCTGACAGAGTTTACAGGACTGTAAATTTCAGTGTAGTTTTGTAGGCAGCATGCATTGACAAATATGCCTAATGGTAATACATCTAGCACTGAGTCTTGGAGCAGGTCAATAATAGTGTGTGTGTATTGATAGCAGCAATGTAGGAGATGTTACTAGGTATTATAGCTAAAAATCCATGTCATCCCCTTAATCATAATTACATTAATATTGACAGGCCCTTGACAATACCCACATTATTATTGATAGATTTCTGTCAATAACATGGTTTTAAATAAAATATATTCATTCATAATTTGTCCTCGACTCAATAAAAGCTCTGAAATACATCCTGAAACACGCTTCCCTCTTTAGTGAGATAGAATCGTTTGTGTTGGTTTTAGAATGCCATATAGATGGCAGAGTTTTATTTTAGGGAATGAAAAGCGTAAAAGGAAAGCCTGAGTTATTTAAGGGATAAGGTTATGTATCGCTGCTCTTAGTAAACGAATTTCAGGGGTTTTTTCTGTGAAAGAAAATCAGTGTGGCGTGTCTAGTGATAAAATGTCAGCAGGACACCTTGGTAGTTTTTAGTGCTGGATTATTTTGTCTTAAACATATTTATGTGACAAGTTAATCACGCCTAACCCTGGTAGTTGCTGTACTTTTTACCTTTCCTTGATTTTGCCTTAAACATCGTTTTCACATACCCTATCCTTCACTAAACACTAATATTACTTAGTGCCAATTATACTTTTAATTATTTTTATAAGTCTCTTTGCTTGGTCATAAATGTTTTCCCTTGCATTAGCCTTTTATATTCTTAAATTTAGTATAGTTTGGGGAGTGGGAAGGAAGAAGGTGATAGGATTATGCATTAAAGGAATGAGATTCCATGGCAAAATAAGGAAAAACATTGCCTGTTTGGGGGAATTCTGGAAAAATAAATTTGAATGGAATCTGATGGTGTTTGTTTCCATTCAAAATGATGCCAACTTTGAAAATAAAAATTAGCTTGTATTTTTTTTTAACTATTCAAGTTTGAGCCTAGACTAGATAGTAACCTGCAGGAACCAATAATCTGGGTATTGTTAATGCTTACTTAAATTCTTGAACATAAATAGACCTGAACAGGCCAGTAGCCGTCAATGGAACAGAGACAGGAAAGTATGGTTTTCCAGAAACGTTGGGGACTTTTGACTCGAAAATGTGAAGAGCAGTTTAATACTAGTCTGCTGGTCCATGACAAGTCGGATGGAGCGAGGAGATTGGGCCCAGCTGTTCTTAATCTGCACTGAGGCCAGGCTTGGGGAGAAAAAGGGAAAACAATGTTAAACTGTAACAGGAGGGATAAGAAAGAAGTTTTTGATAATAACTGTTAAATGTTGGCTTGGTTGGGTAGTGTGATAAGTCTCCTTTTCTGGCAGCTGTCAAATTTTTCTGTTTTTACGAAATGTTCTTAAGTATGATTCCTTCAGGAGAAGGGGTTTGAAATAAAGGGCTCCTGAGAAGCCACTCCCTCTGTCCAGTTTTCTCACTAAACACAAGTAAGGAACCCGAGGAAAAGATCGCTTCCCTCCCCTCCAGTTCACTCCTTCCACTACGCATTCGTTCAGCACGTTTATTGAGCAGCTACTATGAGCCCATCTTTGTGTTAAATTCTGTAAGATAATAAGATAGTCATCAGCCACAATCCGAAACTGATTGTGATTCCAGTATTTAAAAATGCATAAATGGGCACAGCTGGCCTCCAACGCTAGTGACATATTTTGTCTGATACTCATCTGGGGGGGGGGGAGCAATCCTTCCAGTTAAACATGGGGGTGGGATGAAGGGAGGGAACTGGTAGTGTTGGACTTAAATGTTTTTTTTTAAATATATTTTATTGATTTCTTACAGAGAGGAAGGGAGAGGGATAGAGAGTTAGAAACATCGATGAGAGAGAAACATCGATCAGCCGCCTCCTGCACACTCCCCACTGGGGATGTGCCCGCAACCAAGGTACATGCCCTTGACCAGAATCGAACCTGGGACCCTTCAGTCCACAGGCCGACGCTCTTTCCACTGAGCCAGACCGGTTAGGGCAGGACTTAATGTTGATGTGCAATAAGGTCAGAAGCGTTCCAAGAGCACTTTGACAATCAGAGAGCTTCCCTTATCTTGCTGACCACGGGATGTGAAATCTGTATTGTAGACACTGAGTTACACATACCATACCCCCACATATCACCAGTGATTGCAGAATTTTACATGACAGAGACTGAGCTAAGTATCAAGTCTCTGTCTAAGTGGTAGGAGCTTTGGGAAATAAGTATAAGATAAGGCTCTTCCCTTAACTAGTTTATAATCAAGTTAGGAGAAGGTGTGTTCACATGACTGAAGCCACAGTACAAGTGGTTGAGGGCTGAGTGGGTGTCACAGACAGCGGCGGTCACAGTTAAGACATGGTGACAATGGGAGTTGGGGGTAGTTATGAATTTTTTAGAGAATTTTGAAATAGAGTTGGAATGTGAAGGGAGATAGTTGAGGGCATTGGAGCAGTTGATAGGGAAGGTAAGTGTTAGGTGCTTGAGAAAGGACAGAGGTGGGACTGCAGGATGGTCCTCCTTCACGGCTCCACTGGGAATGATGGTCACCTGATCTCAGGGGAGGAGACAGAATTGGGCCAAGTTGGGTCTGAGAAGTTTGTACTTTATCCCAGGGGTGATATGAGCTAAGAAAGAGGTGATATGATAAGGGAAATATTTTTGTAGATTTTGGTTTGCTTATGAGGTTTTTAAAATAATGTTTTTTTGTGTGTGTGTTTTTTTAAGTTACATAAATGATATAAGTTGATTAGAGAAAATTTGTAAATTACAGAAAAAATGGGAAAAATAATCTTACTCATTGATAATTTTTGTGTGTGTGAACTTTAAAGTTATTTTTCTGTCTTTGAAATTCTGTGTTTTGCTTGTCGTACCATCTCCCTCTGTTGTTGCCTAGTTGTCCATTCACTTGCTGCGTCCCTGCAGACCTGGGTTGGGGTCCTTCCGTGAGCCAGGGCGAGTCTTCTCTCTGCACCCCAAGCACCTTGCAGGGAGGGCGAGGATGCATTGATGCGCATGGATTTGTGTCATCCCTTAATAGAAGGAAGGGAGCGCCTGAGTCAGTGCGGTTGAACAGCCTCTCTGGATACAGGGATGAGACGGAACCCGGAGTGAATCAGGGATGAGTGGGCAGCCGGCACGCAGCGTTGAGCTGTGTGGGTGATAGATTACCAAAGGATTATGAATTGTGCTTTGACATGGACTAGCCCATAATTCTCATCTCCAGGGAACTTGTTAGAAATGCAAATAACTGAGGCACCACAAGCTAACAAGTCCTCCTAGTGATTCTCACAAACTCTCAAATTTGAAGACTAGACTAGACTAGAACAGAGCCTACAGGGCTGCGATGTTGAAGAGCACGGCATAGGAAGATGGAAAGCCCAAAGATGTGTGGTCTCAGTGAACATAACCAATGAGATGCCACAGTAGCTGAAATAGGAAAAGTATGAAAATATTGTATTGTTACAGAGAGCATTAAATGTGTTACACATGGTCAAGATCTGTTTGTCTTTATAAATCACCGCCTTCCTGGTTTGAGCATTTAACTAGATTTATAATAGATTAATCCAGTGGTCGGCAAAGTCATTAGTCAACAGAGCCAAATATCAACAGTACAACGATTGAAATTTCTTTTGAGAGCCAAATTTTTTAAACTACATAAGTAGGTACATTGTTTTAACTTAATTAGGGTACTCCTAAGCTGGCCTTTGCTAAAAAACGTCCTCAATCTGAGGGGTCGACCTCAGCGAACGTACCCTCACTTCTTCTAACGCCCCTTCTTCAAAATAGACTCGCTCAGGCCGAAAACCGGCCTGGGCCAAACTTCTGCGCATGGGCCACGAAGTTTCAATTGCACTGTACGTGCGCGCCCGCACGTGGTTTTTTGTGGAAGAGCCACACTCAAGGGGCCAAAATGCCACATGTGGCTCGAAAGCCGCGGTTTGCCGACCACTGGATTAATCCAATGAGAATGTCCCCATGCTCAATGTCCCCGCCCAGGCTCTTTCTCCCAGTCCACATGACTGCCTCCTGGCCTTTTCCACTTGCTGTCTCATAGTGGCCTGAGATCTCCAAGACCACATGTGTGTATTATCTTTCCCTTCAAACCAACATCTCTGCGAGTGTTTCCCATTTCAGAGAACTGGTCTGATCCACTCAGTTATTCAAGTCAGTGATTCCTGACTTATTTCTCACAAAATTTTGTCAATTCTACCACTTCCGAGCTTTCAGAGGCACCTATCTCTCTCCATCCCCACTGATACCTTTCCAATTTATACCATTAGTTTCTCACCAGATCGTTTTAACAGTCAACTGGTCTTTCAGCCCCAAACCCGTTCTCAGTGTAGCCAGAACAAGCTGTGTAAACGCGAATTTTATTCTTTTACAACCATTCCGTGGCTCCCCATTACCATCTCGATAAACTAGGGCCTTAAGGATGAGTCTCGTGCTTTTCTTCCCAACCTTATTTTTTGTCCTTGGACCTTCAGTCCTTGTCACCTGCTCTTCCCTCGGCCTGGACTAGTGTAGTGTGCTTACCTTCCTTTACCAGCCTGGCATCGCTCACCCTTCAGGTGCAGAGGTGTAGCCCCTCCGTGAAACCTTTCTGCTCGTAAGCATAATTCCCATCGCACATCACTTATCATGTCTTCTTGTAATTGTCTGTTTGACATTTTACATAGCACACTCTTACCCCCCATCACCCCATTACATTATACTCTTCACAGGAGTTGAGTCTGTCTGCCATTCTTCCACTAGCTCCCACACATTAACTGCTAAGTAGAAGGTGCACAACAAACGCATGTTGAAATAAGTAATCAGCAACAATCTGGATATGGGCATTTGAAACAGTTTTAAGGGATGGAAATTTGTATTTTCTACCCTTCACCATCCCAGACATTTTTCTGTCCATCGATCCATTTACCTAGTTCTATAGGATGCATCCTGCGTGCCAGGCACTGAACTAGTTGCTAAGATTCAACTGTGACAAGACTCAGATAATCTTTGCAATGGGCCTTGTCTTCTAGTGGAGGAAATCAACCTTCAGAAGTAGTGTATGTCTAGTACAGAAGGGTCTAGATAGAGGAAGAACAGCGAGAGGGGACAGCTAACCCAAGCTGGGCCAGTCGGGAGGAAGTGATACCTCACTCAGAATTTGAGAACTTAGGATAAGTTAAAGAATGGGAACGCACTGATCCCAGTGAAGGGAACAGGTAATAGAACGTCCCCTAGTGAGCGAGAGGGGGCATTTATACTAGAGGTCAAAGCATTAGGAAGGCAAGAAGCTGGAGGAGGCTTGTGTGAAGGATCACGGTGTGGGCAGTGCCCCGAAGGAGTCAGAAGGTAGATACCCGCGTTGGGTGTAATCCCGGGGAGACAAGAGCAGCGTAAGTTAGGGAGAGGCTGTGGGATAGAGTAAGGGATGGGTTTGAAAATGTTTTGGACAAAGAACGGGCCTTGGGGATTAATTAGATTGGTATAGGGAGCAAAGAGAACCCTGTCCTAACCCCCTCCTTTCTCTCCTGCAGTTCCTGGCCAGTATGAGGCAAGGATTTCACAGAACTTGCAGCCCAAATCCCCACTGCTCTCAGCTTAGAAGTCTTAACGGAGCTCCAGGAAGGGGGAACTGGTGAGGTCACCGGAATGTGAGAAGCATTCCTGTCATATATCTGGGTTCAGAGGGAAAGAGCACTAAACAACCTGTTATTTAGTAGCCACGTTTGTTTCCTGTATTTGGACTTCCTGCCCCTCAGTTATCTGGGATTCATGGGTAATTCAAAGTCTTCCTCCTGAAAAAATTCTCTGATTGTAAAGTTATCCCAATTTGAAGACATACAACTTTATTGTAGGATGTATTTTGCAGTTCTTTTGACTTCTAACAAATTATATTTAACATCTTTTAGTAAAAGACATAAAGTAATAGGATTTGTGAACTGATCTTAGAATACCTTTTTGATAATAGTTCTCTTTTCTCCAAAAGTGTATGATGCATCTTAATAATGACATTTCTGCATTCATGGTACTTTGTGCTAGTATTTATTTTCTGCAATCATGTGATAGAATAATGAACACTTACTACAAATCAACAAATGTCAAGTGCTGGCGAGGATGTGGAGAAAAGGGAACCTAGTATACTGCTGGTGGGAATGCAGACTGGTACAGCCATTATGGAAACAGGATGGAGTTTCCTCAAAAAAGTGAGAATGCAGACTGGTGCAGCCATTATGGAAAACAGTATGGAGTTTCCTCAAAAAATTAAATATGGAACTGCCATTTGACCCAGTGATCCCACTTCTAGGAATATATATTCTAAGAAACCCAAAACACCAAATCAGAAAGAATGTTTGCACCCCTATGTTCATAGCAGCACTGTATGCAATAGCTAAGATCTGGACACAGCCCAAGTGTCCATCAGTAATTGAGTGGATTAAAAAGCTGTGGTACATTTACACCACGGAATACTATGCAGCAGTAAAAAAGAAGGATCTCTTACCCTTTGAGACAGCATGGAGGGACCTGGAGAGTATTATGCTAAGTGAAATAAGCCAGTCAGAGATACTTGTCGACAAGTATCACATGATCTTACTCATATGTGGAATCTAATGAACAAAATAAACTGTTGAACAAAATAGATCCAGAGACATAGAAGCATGGAACAGACTTTCGAACCTCAGAAGGAAGGGATGGGGAGGGTGGGGGGGAGACGAACCGAAGAACTTGTATGCATATATGCATAACCTGTGGACACAGACAATAGGGTGGCAAAGGGTCGGGGCAGGTTAGATGGGGTCAATGAGGGGGGAAAAAGAGACGTATGTAATACTTTCAAGAATAAAGATTTTTTAAAAAATAAAAATAAACCTTTATTATTTTTTTCTCCTACTTTCCTTTATAAATATATAGGAGATTAAATGACTTATTGAAAAGTATGCCTTGGAGTCAGTGGAAGTGCTGGGCGTTAAACTGAGGCCTTGACTTACCATTCATTGCAGTGTTCCACATAATTCATTGTATTTATTAAGTGCATATATGTCTCCATTAGCCATGCTATTATTCAGCCTTTTACTTAGCAATTATTGCTAAAACCAAAATAAACTGTTGAACAAAATAGATCCAGAGACATAGAAGCATGGAACAGACTTTCGAACCTCAGAGGGAAGGGATGGGGAGGGTCGGGGGGGAGACGAACCGCAGAACTTGTATGCATATATGCATAACCTATGGACACAGACAATAGGGTGGCAAAGGGTGGGGGCAGGTTAGATGGGGTCAATGAGGGGGGAAAAGGGGACGTATGTAATACTTTAAAGAATAAAGCTTTTTTTAAAAATAAAAATAAACCTTTATTATTTTTTTCTTCTACTTTCCTTTACAAATATGTAGGAGATTAAATGACTTATTGAAAAGTATGCCTTTGGAGTCAGTAGAAGTGCTGGGCGTTAAACTGAGGCCTGGACTTACCATTCATTGCAGTGTTCCACATAATTCATTGTATTTATTAAGTGCATATATTTCTCCATTAGCCATGCTATTATTCAGCCTTTTACTTAGCAATTATTGCTAAAACCTGTTATTCCCTTGATGAGGAGGGCCAAAAGCGAAAAGAAAAAAACAGGAAAGAAAGGAGGGAGGAGGACATGCGAGGAGAAGGAGAAAGGAGTTGCCTTTCAGAGGTGACTGCTCCATGTGCTGTTTGGACACGATGCAAAGGTGTGTCCTGTCTTGTGTATCCCAGTTTCCCGGGCATTGGTTGCGGAGACAGTACAAGGTTGTCTGTGTCTGATGATGTTTCCTAATCGTACTTCCTCCTAGAGCTCTTTGGAGAAGGCATGGCTTCCAGAGAAGACAAAGCGCAGAGCGCACACAGGGTGCTGAGAATCAGTCAGCTGGATGCACTGGAACTGAACAAGGCCCTGGAGCAGCTGGTTTGGTCCCAGGTCACTCAGTGCTTCCATGGGTTCCAGCCAGGGCTGCTGGCCCGCTTTGAACCTGAGCTGAAAGCCCTCCTGTGGCTTTTCTTGTGGCGATTCACCGTTTACTCCAAAAACGCCACGGTGGGCCAGTCGGTTTTAAATATTCAGTACAAAAACGACTTCTCCACGACCCTGAGATACCAGCCCCCGAGTAAGAACCAGAAGCTCTGGTACGCTGCCTGCACGATCGGCGGGAAGTGGTTGGAAGAACGCTGCTACGACCTTTTTCGAAACCATCACTTAGCCTCGTTTGGGAAAGCCAAACAGTGTCTGAACTTCATGGTGGGCCTGGTGCAATTAGGGAGCCTGATTAACTTCTTGATTTTCCTTCAAAAGGGCAAGTTTGCCACTTTGACGGAACGCCTGCTAGGCATCCGCTCTGTGTTCTGCAAGCCCCAGCACGTGCGTGAGGTTGGCTTCGAGTACATGAACAGGGAGCTTCTCTGGCACGGCTTCGCGGAGTTTCTCATTTTCCTCTTACCGCTCATCAACACCCAGAAGTTGAAGGCCAAGTTATCTTCGTGGTGCATCCCTCTCGCCGGTGCTCCCAACGGCGACAGCTCCTTGGCCAGCAGCGGCAAGCAGTGTTCTCTGTGCGGAGAGTGGCCCACCATGCCCCACACGATCGGCTGTGAGCACATCTTCTGTTACTACTGCGTGAAGAGCAGCTTCCTGTTCGACATGTTCTTCACCTGCCCTAAGTGTGGCGCAGAGGTACACAGTGTGCAGCCACTGAAGTCAGGAATCGAGGTGTCGGAAGTGAATGCTCTTTAGAAACTAAAAATGGTTTTCTCTGCAGAAAACTGTCTTGGTTGAAATCCTTAGGATTAGTCACCCTGAGCATACCATTGAGGTGTCTTTTATGAGAACATGTGCTTCTCAGCCACTGTGTTCTGTTCCTTGCCAGACCTGACTAAAATCTAATCACTGGGATCCATGGGTTTCTGAGTATATTCTGTGAATGGTAATGTGTTATTTTCTTTAATGATTGCATTCAGTGTTTAATGTCAGGAGTAATGGGCAGCTTTTGTCAGATGCCTACGAACAATGCTCCTTCACGTTGTACTTCCTAGAACAAGGTTAGCCTCTGAAAATAAAAAGTTTTGGAGACTGGGATGAGTGTGCCTTTATTTCCAGAGATGGTGTTATAACATAATCTGACAGTGATAAGACCATGGTGTTTTGGGTTTTTTTTGTTTGTTTGTTTTTAATATATTTTTATTGAATTCAGAGAGGAAGGGAGAGGGAGAGAGAGATAGAGATAGAAACATCAATGATGAGAGAGAATCACTGATTGGCTGCCTCCTACATGTCCCCAACTGAGGATTTAGCCCAGGTAATGAGAGAGAATCACTGATCAGCTGCCTCCTACATGTCCCCAACTGAGGATTCAGCCCGGGTATCTGCCCTGACCAAGAATTGAACCATGGCCTCCTGGTTCATAGGGTGACGTACAACCACCTGAGGCATGCCAGCCAGCCAGACCCTGTTGTTTTAAACCTTCTGATCTGGTGGCCCACTCGTAATTGTAAGCTTTTCTCTGAAGCCAGTTTTCAAGGGGTTCAGTGGGCTCTGTTCTCAGGCAGAATGGTGGCCCCCGGAAGCTGAAGACTTACGTCCTGCAAGCTCCCTGGCCCCACTGGAATAAGAGCTCCTTGCCTGGCCACTCAGCAAAGCAGGGGGATCACTGGACCAGGATGGAAAATCCTTCCCATTTCTCAATGTGGGTGACATCCCTCACCTAAACCACATGATCCTGAAGTAGGAGGGGAGGTAGGTCGCCACAGGGCACTGAGGTGCTGGTTCAAGGATGGTGGGTGATGGGCAGGTAGACATAATAAATTGCTCCTGTACTTCCCAAATTGTCTACAATAAGCATGTCATACTTTTTAATTACATCAAAACAAATTTTTTCTTTAAAATCTGATGGCCAGTGTTATTTCAGTTAAATCCAAAGAGAAAACATCTGCATAGCCAGGAAACCATCTTTTACAAATGTGAATTTAGGACATAGTAGGCCCTATAAACCCTAGGGTTCCTATTTGTGTGTTATAATAAATAGAGCCTGTCTTTATGGCCACCCACAGCTATTGAAAAAGTCTGAATTATTTCATACATTTTAAGTTAGATACTAAGTCTGACTCCATATAGTATAGAACTTTTTTTAACCACTTAGAAGTATTTAGGCAACAAAAAGAAAGTCCCCACTCCCTCTTCCAGAAGTACTTGTATATATAAGTAAATGTACAGTATTTGTAAATGTGGTTTGATTACCTTAAAATACCTAGAACTGGTACACCAGAGCAAAACAATCGACATGAATACGTTATATTATCAATTTGCCTAAGCCTATAAGATGACAATATTTCCTCAACTAAGAGTCAAGACACAAGGCCTGACCCAGGATTTTGTATGCCTTCCAGATGTGGACACAGAAATGCTGACATTTCTGAGTATTTTTATGGTTCAGTTGCCAATAAGACATAATGCAAACTTGAACTTCAGCTGAGACTTTATCTAAATAGTCATAAATCTGCATTAGTGGAGCCAGAGGCTTTACTGTTCTGAGAGGTGTCCAGGAGGGGTTCCTGCTAAACACATCTCACTTCACGTTCAGAAATGTTGAGCATCCTCTCCTGAAAGCCTCTATTCTTTTAAATCCACACCCATCTGTAAGAATTCCCTTTTAGTCAACAAAAATTATAAAATAATACACTATGCTGAATTGCTTTAAAAAGGCTTAGTTCCAGACCAAATGCAAAGGGCAAATAAATTCTTTTAGAGCAAAACCCCTATCCAATATTGCATGCATTATTTCTTAATGCCACTTCTCAAACCTACTAGATAGAATATGCCTTAGTTTCAACTAGATGACTGTCTTGCAAAATAGACTGACGCTATATGTGTGTGTCCCTACAGCCAAAAGCAATGACTACCACAATGTTTGAAGAAGACAAGAGGGCCCTGCCAGTGTGGCTCAGTGGTTGAGTGTCGACCCATGCACCAAGAGGTCACCCGTTGGATTCCTGGTCAGGGTACATGCCTGGGTTGTGGGCTGGGTCCCCAGTAGGGGGCATGCAGAAGGCAGCTGATCAATGTTGATGTTACTCTCTCCTCAATGTTTTTATTTCCATTTTTAAAAAATATTTTTTTTTTTATTGATTTCAGAGAGGAAGTGAGAGGGAAAGAGAGATAGAAACATCAATGATGAGAGAGAATCACTGATTGGCCTTTTGCACAGAGAGACAGATTTTAAGCAATTTGATGGGGAAGCCAAAAAACTACTCCGAGGCCAGCCCCCTCTAAAAGGCTGTTTTACTTTGCGAATGTCTTTAGTCCCATTCTCTGTTTTTCATGACACTGACTCTTTGGATGCATCCAGGCCAATTGTCTTGTTAAAAAAAAAAAAAAAAAAGACAAGAGGGTTTGGGGTTTGATTAGGAAGGCCTCCCAAATAAATGAGCAGAGCGGCTGATAGAATTGTGGGGACACTTCCCCATGCATTTCTGTAACAGTGTAGCGAGGCCAGCAGTCCCAGTTTGCCGTGTATCTTAGAGTGCCGTTTTTAATTTAAAATGTTCTATGGCGTTCTTGCTTTGAGGGAAAACACAGTTGGAATTCAGGAGCACAATAAGAGAATTAATAACTTTTCTTTGAAAATACATGCAATTTTGGAGCTGTCAATTTCAGCTATGTCTCTTTAAATACTTTTTCCTCTCGAATCCAACTGGGTAGATGAGATTTTTTTTTTTTAATTCCATTATAGAAGTAATAGCCCTGTTTTGGTGTTTTGTAAGCAGATAATATTCTGCTGGTGACTGTCTTTGCAGTAATGCATGGCTCTGAATTCTGAATTCTATTATTTTACATCTCCAGCAGCTTAAAGTGTATTTTTTATAAACAGCAAACTTCACCTCATAAAAATTCATTACATAGGGTATAAACAAGTGCTTTTCTTTCTAGTCATTGGCGGTAAGTGATTCATCAGTTTTCCACAGAAAACCAATTTCATTGTAGATGTTCTATAATTTCCAATCTCCCTGAATTGTGGAACCATAACACACAATCCCAATGCAAGGAAGGGAAGGGATTTTTTTCTTTTCTTTTTAAGGTCTGTGCTTAGTCTCCTTAATAAGGTTGAATATCATTTGCCGTCTCATCCATTTTATTTTTAAAAATTAAGTGATCAGTCTCTTTTTTACCTGTATATGTTGTTTCCACATGTGGATGGATAGCTGGTAGAAAACTCCAAACCCCATGCTACCTGATGTCTAAAAACAATAACATTCACTCCTTTCTCCCAGTTAAACTAGAAATATTAAGAAAAGCAAAAATTTGTCCCCATGGCAAAATCCTTCCTTTTTACTGTTTACTTTCAATCTTTTCATCCCCACGGTGAAGGAGGAGTGTAGGGGGCTGTGGAAATCAGGAAATGTTCACCTTCTATCACCAGGGACCTCCTGGGAGTGATCCCTGGGAAAATTACCCCCACCAACACTCGAACTTAGTTTTGTCCAGTGTTTCAAAGTTCACTGATGGAAAATGGGCATTCCGGTATAAAATAGGGAGTTAAATCCGGCTGGTGTGGCTCAGTGGTTGGGCGTCAACCTATGAACCAGGAAGTCAGGGTTGGATTCCTGATCAGGACACATGCCCAGGTTTCACTCGTAGGGGGAGTGCAGAAGGGCAGCCACCCAAAGATTCTCAGCATTGATGTCTCTGTCCTTCTCTCTGTCTCCCTTTCTCTCTCTGCAATCAATAAAAACATTTAAAAAAAAATACGGAGTTAAGCCCTGGTTGGTTTGGCCCAGTGGATAGAGCATCGGCCTGCGGACTGAAGGGTCCCAGGTTCGATTCCAGTTAAGGGCACATGCCTGGGTTGTGGGCTTGATCCCCAGTGAGGGGCATGCAGGAGGCAGCCAATCAATGATTTGCCCTCGTCATTGATGTTTCTATCTCCCTCTCCCTCTCGCTTCCTCTCTGAAATCAATAAAAAATATATTTTAAAAAATACGGAGAGGGAAGAAATGCCTGCAGATACAGTGACAGTCTAAGGCCATCTACAATAAATGAAAATTTCTCAGAAATGCCGACAAGGAAAAGGTTAAAAATCTAAAAGCCTTAGGAAGTTAAAGTCCAGTCTTTTTCAAAACACCTCAGTCTTTGGATTGAGAGGTTGAATCAAAAGTACGGTAATTGAATTTACTAACAAAGTTATGAGGTATTGCAAGGGTGAAGTGACAGATTCTCAAGATAATTTGAACGTGAAGGTGGTCCTTATTCACCCCTCCGCCGGCCACTACTCTGGTTACCCACATATTTCCTCTAATGAGTTACATAAGGAGGGTCTGTGGACTTGTCTCTGCAGAACCATTCTTATTCAGAGGCCCCGAGGGTGTTTTGAGAAATATTCATATCTGCCCCTGCTTCTGCCTTGGTGCCTGGAATTCCATCCTCGGTGGAGAATAGTATGTCCCTAAGGGCACAGCATTATCTCTACTCCGAGAAATCGCATGGGATGCAGGGTCACCTCTGGTGGGTTTCCTGCTGGCCACAGGCAGAGACTGGCAGCAGCCAAAGAAAGGGGAGAGTTGGCCCCTGGAGATACACCCCTGACCTATGGAACCGCCAATTAAAACCTATTCCATGCCCCGTCCTCTGCACTCCCCAGTTACTGCACATTGCCTCGTACTCACTTCCCTTCAAGTACATTTTAAACTGTCTTCTCCTTTATGCAAACCGAAATGTAAAGTCCTAGGAATGAGTCAACACAGCCTCCCTGTCCATTCATTTCAGACAGCTATTGAACACTTTCTTCAGAATGTGGATCCCTAGGAATCCAAAGATAAATAAGAGATCAGACTCTACCAGAGGAGGAGGTGGTGAGAGCAAATCGATGAGCAGTGTATTCCATCGGGGATCTGTGGAAACCCTGCCTGGGAAGGTGGCGTTTGAGTTCAGCCTTGATAGCTCTGTAGGAAATCTTCAGGTGAAACGAAAGGACATTAAAATGAGGGGGGAAAAAATACCCTTAAGATGTCACACATGAGCCCTCAACACCCAAGTGCAGAAGGGCACATGCCTGGGTTGTGGGCTTGATCCCCAGTGAGGGGCAT